CTGTCCCGGCCCACCCCAGGTCCCCTCTTCCACCTTTTGCTACAGTATGCCTTTGTCGATCCCGATTCTCCCCCTTCCTCCTGCCCATTCCGGGCCCCCCCCTCCCTGCATGCCACTGCAGCTTCCCCCAGGATCCTGCCTGGCTCTGAGCCCAGAGGCTGGAGCAGCAGACACTCCTGATTTTCCCGAGGTGGGGAGCAAGGACGTGGGGAGCAAGGCCGCCACACTGGGGAGGGCGTGGGTGCCATCCCAGGGGTTATCCCAAACACCTGGCATAGCTGTGCTTCTCCAAGTGCTGGAGCTATGGCAGGGATGTGCCTCAGCCACAGCAGTTCTGGGGCTGGTGGGGAGTGGTCTGTGCTGGCCCACAGGGGTGTCCCCATGCCAGTGGGCTCAGGGTTCATTCCCTCCAGGATCGCACCGGCACTACTTAGACAAGCATCCTATGGCACCATCAAGATTGGAATTTACCAGAGCCTGAAACGACTTTTCGTGGATCGCATGGAAGGTCTGTTGGGAATGGGGCAGCACCTCCCGGGGGCTCACAGATCTCACACTCTGTGCTGTGTGTTCTACTCATTCCATGCTCTGTCCTTCCCAAACCCAAGATTCCCACAGGAATGGAGCTCTGTAAGTGGGTGCTGAGGTTATGTCAGTGATAACAAGGATCAGTTTCAATCCCAATGGGAAGCTTGCTGTGGTCTGCATTGCCCACAGCCACCTCCCTCCAACCAGGTCCTTCCTTTCATAGAGTCATAGGAGAATCAGAATCACTGAGCTTGGAAAAGACCTCCAAGACCATCGAGTCCAATCTGTGACCAATCACTACCTTGTCAACTAGAGAAAAGCATTAAGTGCCACGTCCAATTGTTTCTTGAACACCTACAGGGATGGTGACTCCAGCACCTCCCTGGACAGCCTGTTCCAATGCGTAACCACCCCTTCAGTGAAGAAAGTTTTCCTGCTGTCCAACCTGAACCTCCCCTGGCACAGCCTGAGGCCATATCCTCCTGTCCTGTTGAGCCTTTATCTCTGCTTCGCACCTCAGAGCCAAAAAACCAAAATTGTCATTCTCTGGGCTCATCTCTTTTTGATTGGTCTCAGGGAGACATTCCATCCTACCTGAACAGCAGGTGTGTAACAGGGATTGGAAGCTTCAGGAGTGTCTTCTGCTTTCCTTCTAGAGCCTTTGAGTCCTTGTGCTGGGATGCAGCACACAGATTGAATCCCAGAATGGTTTGGGTTGGGAGGGGCCTTAAAGATCATCCAGTTCCACCCTCCTGCCATGGGCAGGGACATCACCCACTAGACCAGGTTGCTCCAAGCTCTGTCCAGTCTGGCCTTGAACACTTGTAGGGATGGGGCAGGCACAACCTCTAGGCAACATCTGGATAGGAATTGTGCGGCCTAGCTCTGTATCTTTGGCCCTAACCATAAAGGTGAGGTTCCACCAATGCCCTTGACCCGTGTCCTTGGCTCACAGGGGCCCCTGGGGAGTGGAACAGTAGAAGTTTGGTGGGTGTCCCCTGAGGGAGCACCAAGATCTGCTGGTGTAGTTTTAACCCCCAGTGTGATATGAGGGAATGTTGTAACACCATTCCGACTTGGGGAGAAGAATGGTCAGGCAAGATGCAGCACACTAATGGCATGGAGTTGTGTCAGGGGAGGTTTAGGATGAATATTAGGAAGAGGTTCTCCCCCAGAAGGTGATTGGGCACTGGAACAGGGTCCCCAGGGCAGTGGTCATAGCCCCAAGCCTGCCAGAGCTCAAGGGTTGTTTGGATAACAATCTCAGGCACATGGTGGGATTGTTCCTGCTGTGCTGTGCAGGGCCAGAAGTTGGACTGGATGATCCTTGCGGGTCCCTTCCAACTCTGAAGATTCTGTGGTTATGTGACACTAGAGCTCCTTGCCAGGGCTGCTCTGTCCCCAGGAACATCTCGTCCTGCTTCAGGAACACCTCTCCGTGCCTGGTTGTGTCAGTGTACCTTGTCCTTGCATTCCTTCTTGCTGTTCCAGGCCTTCCACCTGTGAGCTCCATGCCTGAATGTTTGTCTCCCTACAGGCCTGGGGCAGCCAGTGGCCTGGTCTCCTCTGGGAAGTGCTGTGGTCAGTACCAGCAAAGGGCTGTGCCTTTTCCTAACGTAACCATCACCCTAATACTGGGCTTGAAAGTCTTGGATTATTCCCTGGAACTAATCACATCTAACTCCCTGCCTAGTCCCTGTTCTCAATTGGCTCAAGGTGGCTGCGTGGTCTGACTAGCCAAAATCAGTTGGAATCAGGTGACCTTGAAAAGTGCTGGGTTGTCCCTCTTGGTCTCCCTCTGTCCTGGCTTGTCCCCATCATGAGAAATGTGTCACTGGCCACTGAAATCTCAGATAATTGTTCCCAATTTTCATGTGTCCCGGGCTTTTCCTTCTCTGCTGAGCTTGACCCATCAGTCAGACCTGCCTCTCTCTGAAAGTGCCTTGCTGAGTGTCCCACCTGCCACCTTCTGTTGCTGGCAGGTGTGGGGACCGACCTGCCATGAGCTGTGGCACTTGCTCAGCCCCTTCTCCTGCAGCTTCACTGCGTGATTTGTGGATTGAGCTGCTCTGCTCTTCCCAGTGCTTGTTCCATCCCACCTGTGCCCCTTCTTGGTGGGTCTGTAGGGTCTGACTTCCTTTCCTTGGTTGCAGATGAAACGTTGCTCATCAATGTGATCTGCGGGGTGGTCTCGGGGGTCATCTCCTCTGCACTAGCCAATCCCACAGATGTGCTGAAGGTAAGGGCTGCTCCTGGCTGCAGCAGCACCTGCCTGGCCCTGGCTGCGAGTGCAGCTCCCTGACCCATCAGTTCTGGTCATTTGGGGTTTTTAATGAGAGGGGACAGAAGCCCAGATTTTTAAAAACTGCTCTTAAAGATCATGGAATGGTTTGGGTTGGGAGGGACGTTAAAAGCCCATCCCATTCCACCCCCCTGCCATGGGCAGGGACACCTTCCACTAGACGAGGTTGCTCCAAGTCCTGTCCAACCTGGCAATGACCACCTTCAGGGATGGGAGTACACCTGCTCAGCTCCTGCCCCTTTGGTCACTGTGCTGTGACTGCCACAAGGTCCTACCTGTTACATGGAGTGACCAGAGCCCTGTGGGGACTGCCTGGTGCCCTGTGGTCCAGGTAGCTCTGCTCTGGGCAGACAGGGCCTGGAAAATGCTTCCCACACTTCTCCTCCACTTTCTTGGAGTGCTTCCAGGGTGAGAAGGCCTTGTCCATCACATCCCTGTGCTCCCACTCTGCTGCTGTCCCTGCTCCGTGCCTGCTGCCATCATTGGCCATGTAGTTTGCATGGAGGTGGATGTGGAGAGCAGTGTCTGCTCCCAGAGGTCCATGGATCTGGTGTCCCTGGTTACTGATACCAGGACAGGTGTTGATGTCTTCCCACTGACTCTCCCCTTTCTTTCAGATACGAATGCAGGCTCAGGGCAGCTTGTTCCAGGGTGGGATGATAGGCAGCTTCATTGACATCTACCAGCAGGAAGGTACCCGAGGCCTCTGGAGGGTGAGCACCAACTCCCAGAATCTCCCACCCGCAGCAGAACTAGCAAAAACTTGATGGAACCAGGTGCTCTCCTGCTGTTCTACAGCATGGGGCACGTGGAGCCCATTCCTGGCTCCTTAAACTGCTGCTCTTGTGAGGCAGAATCTTTCCTGGTGTTGAAATTGGTGGGGGAAGGTGAGGGGGTGGCAGCCTTGTTCCCGTGTGGTGAGAGGGAAGCAGCATGGAGTTAAACCAGCTGGAATAATGCTGACAAGGTGGAGCGATCCTCCTTGGCTTTGGAGAAAATCTGGGAAGACATTTGGTCTGCCTGAAGGGAGGATAGAGGGAATATTGTCAGGAAAAGGCCCCGAGAGGGAGCTGGGGGATGTGACAGTGGCTGGAGGCCCCAGGGCCACAGTTTGTGATGGTGTCTGTGCTGCACAGGGTGTTGTCCCCACGGCCCAGCGAGCTGCCATCGTGGTGGGAGTGGAGCTGCCTGTCTACGACATCACCAAGAAGCACTTAATCCTGTCAGGCCTGATGGGTGACACCATCTTTGCCCACTTCGTGTGAGTACCTGAGGTAGTGGCTGCACTCTGCAGGCTTGAGGGGTGTGTGAAGCAGAGGAGCCAAGTGGGATTTGGGGGGATTTGTTCATGGAGCAAGTGCTCTGGGGCTGCAGGAAACAGGCTTGGTGCTCCTGAAGGATCTGCTCTGTTGACTGAAGCCGCTCTCAGAGTGGACAGAAAGTATATAATCATTAAGGTTGGATAAGACCTCAGAGACCATCAAGTCCAACTGTTCCCCCAGCACTGCCAAGGCCACCACTAACTCATGTCCCCAAGTGCCATGTCCCCGGAGAGACCTCCCCGGGGAAGGACCTTGCAGAAATCCTTTGGTGACATGAAATGTCAGCTTGGTTTCAGCTGGCAGATGACCAGAAATGCTGTTGCCCTACATCTGTGTCATGGTATGAATGAGGCAGGAGTTCCAGATATGTGGCTACCTGCAGCAATTCCATGAAAGCTGCTCCAGTCCTCACCAGTCCAGACCCTGTCAGCTTGCAGCCAGTGCTGTTAGAGCTTCGAGAGATGAACTGACATAAAGCTGACAGGACCCTAAGCTACCTAAGCAGAGGCTGCAGTCAGCCTGCTCTCAGCAGGGGTGGTCAGAGACCTCCGAAGTCCTTTTCACCTCCGTTTTCCAGTTCCTCAGCTGGAGGTGCTGTAGTGCTTCCATTGGCTTTGCCTGCTGTGAGTGAGAGTGAGGGGCACTCGGCCCTACATGGAGGGAGGAGCCCGACAGCTCCATGCTCCCTCCTGCTGCCTTCGCTCTTCCTCCATCCTTCCCAAAGAAGTGTTTGGTCTGGTGAGAAGAGTGTGCTCTCCCAGAGGCTGCCTTCAGGTCTGTGTCACCTGGACAGCACCTGGGACCTTGCAAGGCTGCAGGTGTCCCTGTGGAGCTAGCTATGGGCTTGGATAAGGGTCTGGATTAGCTGAGCTGAGCATTTCCCTCTCCCAAGCTCTTCAGAGTCCTGTGGTGGTCTGGATTCTGCTGCTACCCCTTTTCCAGTTGAGAGCAGCTAGTGCAGCTCATGTTTGTTGCTTTCATAAAATCAAGTGAAAGGTATTTTGTGCCTGTCTGAGCAGGAGTGGCTGTGTTCAGAGTTGTCCCTCTCCTCATTTGGTGTGTGTAGTTCCAGCTTCACATGTGGGCTGGCAGGAGCCATCGCCTCCAACCCCGTGGATGTGGTGCGGACACGGATGATGAACCAGCGGGCGATCGTGGGCAGCACGGAGCTCTACAAGGGCACTCTGGATGGCCTTGTGAAGGTGAGGGGGAGAGAGGTGGGCACATCCCTGTCCTGAGAGGCTGCCTGTGTCCCAGCCCCACACAGCACTGATGGGAGCAGTTAGATCCTGCAGCAACAGAACATGTCATCAGTGAGTGTGTCAAACAGACAGGGAAGGGCCTAGAGTTACTTCCCTGAGGTCACCATCATGCTGAGCAACTCCCTGGCCTTCTGGGACAAAATTTAGGCAGTGTTGCAGTTACATTCAGAGACTGTAGGGATGTTTCACACAACTGCACCTGCATGGGCCTGCCTGCTACAGCTGGAGAGGGCCAGTGTGTCACACATGGCACTGAGGAGGTGGCAGAGTGTGGGCCTGGTGTGTCTCCTAATCCATTTGTCTCTTCTCTCTTCCCAGACTTGGAAGAGTGAGGGCTTCTTTGCACTCTACAAAGGCTTTTGGCCCAACTGGCTTCGATTGGGTCCCTGGAACATCATCGTATCCTTCTGTGTGCTGCTGGGAGGTGGTGAGGGGACAAGGGGAGAACCAAGCTGGGAAGGGCAGAGCAGGGCTGGCACCCCAATTGGGTACACTGGTGACTCTGGTGGGCACCTCTGTGGTGGTTTCTGTAGAGCCCAGTGCTCTGAGGGCTTGGCTGAGACCTTCCCTCTGGCCCAGGCTGTGGGAGTTGCTCCGTTTCCTGGGTCAGCTCCTATTTGTGAGGGAATCCTGGGGGATGTTCTGCTGCTCTGAGGCAGGCACTGATCCACTCTGCAGGACCAGCACTGCCCTGTGCGGACCCAGATCCTTCTGCCCTCTGAAACTGGGTGGGGAATTTACTGTAATGAGGTCCCAGTTTGGTGTTGGAGCCACTTTCCCAAGGTCTAGGCAAGCCTGAGCTGATTTGCTCTGGGTCAGTCTCTCCCCTCGCCTGCAGTACCTGTGCCCCAGCTCTGTTCTACCTGTGCAGGTTGGTTTGTCCTGCCTGGATGAGGGGCTCCCCATGTGGCTCTCCAGCCTAGCTGTGCTGATGCTCTCTCACCCTGCTGGGCAGCTGCCTCACGATTTTATCCCGATTCCTTGACATTCTCTTCAGTTTTTTATCACATACGAGCAGTTGAAACGCCTCCCGTTCTGACAGCTGCCTTCATCTCACCAGAGTCATCCTTGGGGCTGGCAGCAGAGCTGTGCTGCAGCCTTCCTCTTCATCCCACCATCCCCATGTTGTGGTGTTTGGTACCTGTGGGCCTGGGCTCCCCGCGCAAATGCATGGTCCCTGGAGCATGAGCTGGCTGGGATAATTGGGAGCCCATGGCAGGAGCTGCATGTTTCCCACCCGGAGCTGTACGTGTGTCTGGGCCTGCAGCAATATCTTCTGTGAAGATCAGTGCATGCCAGTGGCCTTCGGGGCACTGTGGCTCGTGGGTTGGCAGGTGTGGGTGTCCTCCTGTGCCTGCAGGGCGAGGCTGGGGCCCAGGAAGGTGCTGTCATGTTTATTGCAGAACTGTAACTTCATTAAATTATTTATTGACTGGATGGCTCGAGTGCTTGTCTGTGCTGAGGTACTGCCCTTGGAGAGCACAGAAGCTGGTTTTTACCACACTATATATTCCTTTTTTCTCCGTATATTTGTATAAAAGCAATGTGTAGGATTCATTGCAATAGAAATGTTTCTAAACCCAAGTTGGTTAGTGTCAGAAAATGATGCTGTTGCTCTCTCAGCTCAGTTTTGCCAAACCTGTCTCCTAACTTACTGCTTATATTATTGCTTATGCTATTTTTGCTTAGATCATATTTAAAGCCAGGCAATGTGGTTTAAATGTGAACTCAGTACTTGAAAATGGTGGCTCTGACACAGCTGGTGCTGAGCAGAACATCCAGGAGGATATTTTGGTCATCCTCTTCCAGTTTTTGGAGTTTTTAAAATGTATTTGTCTACAAAAGCAAACAGCTCTTGTGTTCCTGCTCCCTTTCCTCTTTGAAGGGTGGCATTAGTTTGGATGAAGGTCCCTGGTGACACAGCAGCATATCTTGGCTGGGCCTGCTGTGAGCTGAGATGTGAGTCACAGATGGAATGTTCAAAAATGAGAGGGAATTGGTTTTGCAAAGGCAGAGCTGCCTGTAGCAGCTGCCGGTGAAAGTGACTCCACTGAGCTCTCGGACTTCAGTCCTGCCTTGAACAGGGCTGTCAGTGCAGGGCCCAGCTCAGCAGGCTGGAGGGTCATTGTCAGAGTTAAACTGTCTACAAGCTCCCAGGAATGGGAAGTGGTGAGCTGAGAATGAACAAGGTTCCTGTGCGTCACCTGACTGAGGATTTCCAAACCTTACAAAGTAAGTAAATACTTTATTTATGAAATAAATACATCCACCATATGTGGTGGGTGAGCATGAGTCTGAGAGACATATTTTAGCTGTGGTTCATGATGTCTTGGGTTACTCCAGTAGCTCGAGCCTTTCTGTGCAGCTCCATGGGATATTGCTGCTATTGCCAGTCATTTTGGGACTGATCCTCTGACAGTTCCCTGCTGTCCTGCCTGTGTTCCTCAAGCTGCTACAAGAAGCCCCTTGGTGATGCCAGACAAGTGTCCCCACAGCCATGTTGCATTTCTCAGCTGTAAGGTACTGGTGAGAGCCTTTCTGTCCCCTCTTCTTCCTCCCGTTGGACCGTCTCCCCTGGATGCCTTTGGAGATGCTCCTCCAGCTCGTTCCCAGCCCCTGAAGACATTCCTTATCAGAGCTTTGATGGCACTGGCTGTCATAAACGCTGCCACATGTCCCTCTGCCCTGCTGTGTCAATAGTGATGCAGTTTGGAGGGTGGTGGTGGCCACCTCTGAGGATGTGACGTGAGGTGACAGCTGGTCTGAGCTCATCTTGCACCAGCTTCATCTCAAAAGCATCCCACCTTCACAGCCGACAGGGAGGAGCAGGGTCTTTCTGAGTTTCTCAGTGGGTAGATCAGTTTTCTGCCAGGTGTTAAAAAATCTAACCTGGGAATGGCCCTGTGACCTCCTCACCAATGGGACAGCACTGCTAGAACCTGGCATTTTCCAAGGAGGCTAATTTCTTTGGGATGTCCTTCCTAGAGGTTCTCCTGGAACATCTCTTATGTGCTCAGGCTCCTGTGTTTCTCTGTCTAACCTTCTGTGCTGTGCCAGGTAAGGTGTGAGAGCACACCTGAGCAGTCTGTACCTTGTCCCCCTGCACCCACAGGAAGGTTCATGAGGTTGAACTCGGAACCCTGCAAGCCAGTCACAGTCCTCCCCAAGTTGAAGGTAGAAATGTGTATGGTCCTGATACATTAAAGATAAAGAAGGCAGTGAACCGCCCTGATCTCATGCCATGGGGTTTGGACCCTCCCCAGCATCAGGGGAAAGGCTCCCCAAATATCTCCCTGGGCAAACAGAAGAGGACAGGGTGCAAGAGTGTCTGGCCACCAAAGCCCTTCCCGTGGCCACCTGCAGTGCAGACCCAGGGTGTTCCCAAGGGGTCTCCCTGCTCCGCAGCTCCAGCCAGTGACAACCGTTCCTGCATCTGTTGTTCCTTCCCTTCCCGGCACAGTGCCTACGTTCTGCCTGCACCCTGTGCTCAGCCTCTCCCCCGGTTACTGTTTGACAGAGGAAAGCTTGGACTTGCCCCATTTCCTGGCAGCTTGGATTTTTCCAGCTCATGAGGCAGGATTGTAGCACTTGATTTAAGGGATGGAGCAGTCAGTAACAGCCTGCGAGGGTTAACTCACCGCTGGGGGTGTAAAGGATGTGATGGGGGGGTTTGAGGGATGCTGTAACACAAAAGGATGCAGAGGCTTTGCTTCCAATAATTTCTTTGTTACAAGTTACTACTAGTGAGGTGAATACATCAATGATTAGTAAAGAAAGTGTGTGTATATAGAATTATGATATTTAGTATCAGTAGCATGTATGGTATATATTTCACTGGAAGTATCATGGCACAGTTCATTGAATTCTCCCATGAGTGAGGTCAGTTGATGATGAATGAAGTCTCTCTTTGGATATGATCCGTGCACGGAGCCTAGTGCCAGCCTGGCATTCCCCGGGGGTCTGAAGGACTGTGCAGGGGGAGCTCTCAGAGAGAGAGGGGCCTGTTTTGGGTAGTAGACAGTTAATTCTGTGTGGAACCATGAGTGGGCATGGGACAGCAGCTCCTGGAGGAGCCATGGCTGCCTTCTGCCTGTGTAGGAGGCCCCTCTGCTGGTTGTAGTGGCTTTTTGCCCTACAGTTTCAGCAATTCCTTAGTTTTGGCCTCCCCAGTGATGCCCTGGGCTCCCAGCTGTGTCTGCTGGGGTCCCTAGCTGGCAGATGTTTTTCCATCTGTATTTGAGTAGACATCCCTTGTCAGTGCTTTTCTACATCATAACCAGGTCTCCTTCATGGCTGCTGCTCCAGCAAGGGGTCAGTGGGATTCCCTTGGTCCCTGCAGGAAAAGAGTGCTCCAGGTCTGGCAGTGACCACCAGGAGCCCCATGAGCTGTGCCAGGCATTGGGAAGTCTGTGCTTGTCCCCACCCCACTTGCAGCCCCCATGTCAGAGCAGGCACTTCTCTGGTCAAGCCCCTGGTGACCAGTGGGGGACAGCCACCACTCTGTGTGCCACCGTGGCAGCTCCCTGCCCAGGTGCTCACTGCTCACCCCACTGCTCCAGGGTTGTCTGGAAACGTGGCTGGGAGGGAGGGACCTCCGTGGGCACAGCGGGTGCTGAGAGTCCAGCAGTCCCTTCTGCAGGCAGCTGCTCAGCAGAGCTCTGCTTCCCTGAGAGACACCACTGCACCCTGAGAGACACCACTGCACCCTGGGCTTCTGCTGCACCCCGGAGAGCAAGGGGCTGCACCTGCTGAGAGGCACCAGGTGAGAGATGCCTGAGAATTGTGCTGGGGACATGCCACCCTTGTGCTGTGCCCTGCATGGGACAGCTATGGCTAGCTCAGCTGTGGGAGCCATCCTTGCTGTGCTGGCCTCACTCATCATCGCTGCCAACGTGCTGGTGGCCATCGT